CACTATGGGACAATTTAGCACGGCCAATCCACCCTAACCTGCACATCTGTGGACTGTGGGAGGAAACTGGAGCACCCGGAGGAAACCCACGCAGACACAGGGAGAATGTGCAAATTCCACACAGACAGTCGCCCGAGGGTGGAATCTATTCCAGCTATGACCTGACTAGTGCCTTCAGCAAAGCCTCCCAACTCTTAACACTCCATTCCCTTTGAAATAACGAACACTGACCTTCCCTGTGACCCACTGGAAGGCTCAGTGTTTAGCACTCACAGCACCAGGGACCCGGGTTCGATTCCACCATCGGGCAACTGCCTGTCTGGAGTTTGCACATTCTCCCCGTGTCTGCGTGGGTTTCCTCCAGGTGCTCCAGTTTCCTCCCACAGTCCAAAGATGCGCAGGTTAGGCCGCGCTAAATTGTCCCGCAGTGTCCAGGCTGGGTGTGGTAGCCATGGGAAATGCAGGGTTGCAGGGATAGGTAGCGGGGGTGTGTCTGGGTGGGATGCTCTTCGGAGAGTCGGTGTGTGACCAGATGGGCCAACAGACCTGCTTCCACACTGTAAGGATTCAGTTCTGTGAGCTTGGAGGTTGGCTTTTTCAATGGGCATTGAAAAAAGACTTCCCTACTTTCAGACTCCATCTCCCACTTCCAATACAGGACCAAAGGTCTGGCTGGTTTCCTAATTGCTTGCTGAATCTACATAGCGACCTCTTTATAAATTCATGCACCTGATCCCCCAGATCCCTCTGTGCTGTGTCGTGCTCCTTCTCTACATTTGAACGATTAATGGGCAGGAAGCCCCGAGTGGCTGAGCGGCCCTGTCTTGAGGTGAGGGTTTGGGAGATGCATGCTCTACAAAGACATCGCTCACTCTCTCTTACCCTCCCACAGGGCTACTCCTTCATCGCTCCATCTGTGCTGTTTGCTCGGAACGCTGTGACCTCCGGAGACCTGGATCTTGAGCTGAGCGAAGTGGGCAGCTGCCCTGATAGCATGGCAGTCGCTCGGAGTGCCATGACAAAGGTACAGCGTTCCCCCTTGTCTCATTCACCCGCTTGGCGTACAAACCCTGGAAAGTGACATGGGGAGAGGTTTGGGGGCAGGTGGAATGGTGGTGGGGTCTTGTAACCACAAGGTTGGAGTGTGACTGGGCACGGTGGGGTACAATTGAAGTCCGCCCAAAGTAAAATTGAGTGGAGGAAAAGTGGCCCGTGGGAGGTAGGCCGGGAATCCAAGATGGCCTCCCTCAAAGGAGCAAGCTTTCCCTTCGGCCTTTGACCCCACACTGTGGCTCGGTTGTCAGGGCTGGATGATGAGCTATTGCCCTGCCCGGATTTGGGGGTGTGGGGGCACAGAGCCAAGGGAGGCCCATCCCTTGGGGCGGATTCCATGCCGAGAGGGGTGAAGGATGATGCGCGGAAAAGCCTGACCTTTCACCTCCCACCCGGGAAGCTGGAGTCCCATCCACCTGCTCCTGTTTGTCATTTGGTCATCAGGATTCTGCGTTCTTCCAGCACTATGAGCTGGACATGAAGGATCCACCTTTGGGAACAGGCAGCTTCTCCATCTGCAGAAAGTGCCAGAGCAAACTGAATGGGCAAGAGTACGCTGTCAAGATCCTGAGCAACAGGTAAGGAGATCTCTAATGCCATCCCTACCTCCTCCCCTCCCTACCTCTGGCGCCCTCCTCCCCTCCCTACCTCT